CGTACGACGACCACCGTTACCGTCGTAACGAAGTAAGTAGTAGTAAGTAACGTAACTACTACACGACGACGGAGGAGGTACGTACTACGTACGTACGTACGTACGTAACTAATATATATATATATATATATATATATATATATATAAAATACCCTACCGGAATATACAACCACAGATTGGCTACGCCTTGGCTCAGAGTGCTTCAATAATGCTTACCGCATCCACTACACCTGTGTATTCCAGTACCAACGATCATAGGTCCATGGTACAAACTGGTGGTAGACTCAATCTAGGCTACCACGGTAGGCATTGTTGAGAGTAATCTGGATACTCAAAAGCATCAATCAATACGTTTGATACCTTATAGTCAATACAAGTATAGTTGTGCGCACTAGCATGTAAATCAACTCACATCAAACGATGCAGGACAGTGCCTGTGCGCTAACAATACACGCACCAACATACACCTCCGTTCTAGTTGAAACACAACCGGTAGCTATTGGCTATAAAGCATGCAGCTATATACTACATAACTCTCATTGCTAACTTTCCCATTGTAACTACGTACTATAACTCTCCCATTGTCACAACGTACTATAACATTCCCATGCAGGTGGCCCTTCGGCAGCCTCGGTCCAGTGATTGGGGTCAGTTGATCGTTCTCATAGTACTCCACCAGCGGCCTGTACGCATCTGTCGAGCGGGAAACAAAGTATCAGCATAAGTGCGACCCACGGATCTCATATACTATTGCAGTTGTACGAGTCGGTCATCGACATCTCCTTCCTATAAACCGGGATTAATATCTGCACCGGGCGAGTTGAGGAGGGTATCACGGTGACTACAAACTAAGCCTACTAGTATGAACGAGAGACATGGATGTACTTCTGAATCGACTGTCATCAATAACGAGATAGGTATAAGGTTTTTTCTGCATTTCGGCTTAGTAAACTGCATTAGAATGCATGCAGGCGTTGCTGGGCGTGTTGCGGGTTGACGGCGGCGCACTTACCACAACTATCACATACGTACGCACGAGGACTGTGGTACATCCAACAGACAGTCATTACAGCGCTTCTGAAGAGATGTGCATAGTACAATGTGATGCCCATACGTTGTTGAATGTGAAGAAAAACATTTTCGAGGTTAATCGGGTCGCCGAGGGCCTATTGCTTGATTCTGGCTGCGTATAGGTGCCTGTTACAACCAATAATCCTACATAGAAAGCCTGCCGCGTCCACAAGAACAACCCCGCACAAATGCAACATATGGTACGGTAGAACGTGTTCGCACACGCACCTTCAGCCAAGACTGGCAGGCTCAACAGCCGGCGTGCTTGTGCATGCAAGAATTCGATGTGTTTCGGCAGTGTCTGCAGAGCAGCCTCATCTACCAGCGGATGTTGGCGCTCGTAAACCACACCCACAGACACGGTGCGTGAATTGCGTTGCGAGGTATCGTCTGTGCGCTGTGATAGAAACGTGATTGGAAGAACGGGCATTACCACGGGGAAACTTGAAATACAGATAACTAGAAGTATAGTCCTGTTGTTGAGGTACAATTAGACACGATGGGAGAACTAGAAGTACTCATAACCAGAAGTATAGTCTTAGTATCGAGGTACAAATTGGGCACAACGAGATTGACGATTGTCAGTTTAAGGCTATGTTTCGCCGATGAGAGTGACACCAACTTTGAGTAAGGTGGGTTAAATAGGACGAAGTATGTCTGGGGATGTTTATTCACAAGGCAGATGGAGTTGACTAAAGTGCACCACACCATAAACAGGTGCAAATTAATGTGAAATTGGTCCCGTTTACAGCCAAATTTGATCTGGGCAGCGTAACATCTAGTAGGTAAATCATTAGCACCAAAGCGAGTATACACCCAGTCTCAGTAGTAAAATAGCTACAAGTAACCAGAAATAGAAATGTATGCACAGTTTTGGTATGTAAATGATCGATACAGAAAATCCGTCTTGCCTCAAGAGCCGGACTGGGTGCCATGTAAATAGAAGTGTACCAGTGATTTTATTAGTACCAGAAACAACCCAACTACAGGTGCAGGTGCACTCCATACCTACCACATTCCCGTACACAGCCAGGCCTAGCACAGGCAGCTTAAACACAACCACATCCGTGCTTTCCAACGTGTGTACACCAGAGGGTAGAGCGCTGAACTCCACACCGTCGATGTCTAGCACGTCCGAAGGATATTGCCAGGCTATTCGGTTGCCGCTAACGGTACGGAGGGGTTGCGGGATGACGTGAGATTGGTACAGTTCACTAACATGACACTACGCGGAAGGATATATAGCCTACGCATTGATGGATTGGGCAAGGCACCAAATTGTGAAAGTTGCGTTCTGTATACTCAGTACAAGTACAGGGTTTAGTACATACTGTACTGCGAGTTTCAGCAGGTGCGTGAAGCTCTTCCAAGATCTTGTCTAAAAGTAAGAAAGTATCGCACGAATCTGAACTACCTAGTGCAATTGATGCATAAGAGACTACGGTATATCCCGTCCAAGCCAATGGAAGTTGTCATTTATAACCACATCAGTATGAAAACACACACAGAAACGGAAACAGATACAGACAGGCACACATACATATTTACCCACACACACACAGACACACACACACGCACAGACACTGACACACGCACAGACACATACACACGAATACGCATATATATATATATATAAACGTGTACACACACACACGCACAAACACACATGCATACGC